TAAATTAAAACCTACAAGCTATTAAAAATTTTTAAACAAATTATATCTGCCTACAAAAAGTAAATTATAATTTTAATTTAATAAAAATTGTACCATAGTAAGTAAATTTACATTTAATTAATTATCTTAACATTCATCTAATTACTATAAAAAAAATAAAGTTGCCTATTTATTGTATAAAACCATGGTGAACAACATTTTGGATATACTATGTTCAAGTGAGTGTATTTTCAGAATATCAATAGCTTTAATATAACGTTACATAGTATTTAATTAATTTACTTAATGAAACTAGATCTAATCAAAAATAGGCCACATACTCGGCCACACGGAACGTAAATGTAAAAACTGCATGGTCATTTTATTCTAACTAAATTATTATAATTAACATTAATATTAAAACTTGATAAATTTTATGTAATAATAAAACAATATTATGTAATAAAATATATTAAAAATAAAATAATAATAACATAATTACAAATATTTATTAATTTTGTTTTAATAAATACAACATGCTATTAGTTTTACGTCGATGATGATTGTCAAAAATTTTAATATCACTAGCATTAGCAGTATTATTACAATTAATTTGAGTAATATTACCAACAGGATTGTAAGTTTTATTATTAACAATATTGCCAATATTATTACTACCTAGATTATTAGTAGTGTTATCAACAGGATTGTCAGTAGTGTTACCATCAAGAGTGTCAGTACCATTAGAATTTTTTAGAATGTTATCATCAGGTTTGTCAGTAGTGTTACCATTAGAATTATTATCATCAAGGTTTTTAATAATGTTAACATCAGAATCGCCAGTACGGTTACTATTAGAATTGTTAATATTATTGCCATCAGAATTTACAGTAGTATTCTTATCAGAATTGTCAATATTATTATGACCACTAGGATTGCCAGTTTTATTATTAACATTTCCATTACCACTAGAATTGCTAGTATTATTACCAACGCCATTTCTATTATCATCCGAATTGCCAATAATATTGTCCCTTGGATTCCCATCAGAAATGTCAGTCTTATTACAATCAAGATTGCCATTACCAATAATAGTCCCAATAATATTATCAACAGCATTGTTTATATTATTACTAATAAGGTTGCCAGTTTTATTATTAACAATAGTTCTATTATTGCCAGAATTTTGAGGAATATTTCTAATAAGTTTGCCATTATTACCAAGATTTTCAGTATTATTATTAACAGCATTAGTTAACTTTTTACCACTAGGATTGCCAGTATTATTCTTAACTGCATTAGTCAACATTTTACTACGATAATTGCCAGTAATATTATTAACAGAATTAGTTAACCTTTTACCATTAGGATTGCCAGTATTATCTTTAGCAGAATTAGTCAACTTTTTACCACTAGGATTGCCAGTATTATTATTAACAGAATTAGTCGACTTTTTATCACTAAGACTGCCTGTATTATTTTTAACAGCATTAGTCAACTTTTTACCACTAGGATTGCCAGTATTATTATTAACAGAATTAGTCAACGTTTTACCACTAGGACTGCCAGTATTATTTTTAACAGCATTAGTCAACTTTTTACCACTAGGATTGCCAGTATTATTATTAACAGCATTAGCCGACATTTTATATTTCCATGTAATATTTCCATTAGAATTGCTATTATTACCAAGAGTGACATTGATATTTTTAACAGCATTGCCATTACTATTAGGATTTCCAGTAATATTAACACTAAGACTTTTGTTACCACCAGAATTTATATTTATATTGTTACTGTGTCTGCCAATATTATTATAAACGGTATTAGTTATATTATTAGAAGTAGAATGGACAGTATTATTGTTAATAGTAATGCCATTACTGTCAGTAGTGTTGGTATTATCATCACCAGCATTATTAACACTTTTAAGTGACTTGTCAATCTTTGATGATGTAGTATTATTAACAGAATTGTCAGTATTATTATAAACAGCATCAGTCATATTATTACTACCAGGATTGCCAGTAATACTACCATTAAGATTGCCATTATTACCAAGGGTGACATTGTTGTTTCCAACAACATTGCAATTACTAATTGTATTATTATTAAAGGAATTGATTATATTAATAGTACCAGAATTGCCAGTATTATTATTAACAGAATTAGTCAAATCACTAGGATTGCCAGTATTGTTATTAACAGCATTGGTTATATTATTTCTACCAGTATTGGCTTTAGGATTGCCATTATTACCAAAGGTAACATTATTATTTCCGACAACATTATAATTAATACTTGTATTATTATTAAAGGAATTGATTATTTTAATAGTATTAAAATTGCCAATAATATTGCCATTACCACCAAAATTACCAGTATCAATATTAACAAAATTGGTTATATTATTTCTACCAGTATTGGTTGTAATATTGCTATTAGGATTGCCATCGCCACCAGGATTGCCGGTAATATTGTCACTGTGTCTGCCAATATTATTATTAACGGTATTGGTTATATTATTAAGAGTAGAATTGACAGTATTATTGTTAACAGTAACGCCACTACTATTAATAGTGTTGGTATTATTATCACCAGCATTATTAATACTTTTAAGTGACTTGTCAATCTCTGATGATGTAGTATTATTAACAGAATTGCCAGTATTATTATTAACAGCTGTTGTCATATTATTACTACCAGGATTGCCAGTAATATTACCACTAAGATTGCCATTATTACCCAGGGTGACATTGTTATTTCCAACAGCATTGAAATTAATACTAGTATTATTCTTAAATGTATTAATTATAATATTACCACTAGAATTGCCAGTAATATTAACACTGCTGTTGCCGCCAGAATTTATAATCATATTAATTCTGTGATTGCCAGTATTATTATTAACAGTATTGGTTTTATTATTACAAACAGCTGTGCCATTACCGAGAAGATTGTTAACAATATTATCAACAGCATGGTCTAAATTATTATCACCAAGAATACCAGGTTTATTATTAAAAGAAGTTCCAGTATTGCCAGAATTGTAAGAATTATTACCAACAGCATTGCCATCTCCAACAGGATTGCCGGTAATATTTTCACTGTGTCTACCAATTTTATTATTAACGGTAGATGTTATATTATTAGCAGTAGAATTGACAGTATTATTGTTAACCGTAGTGCCCTTATTGTCAGTAGTGTTAGTATTATTATTATAACCATTATTACTATTTTTAAGTGATTTGTCGATCACTGATGAGGTCGTATTATTACCAGAATTGCTAGTTTTAATATTAACAGCATCAGTCATATTTTTACTATCAGAATTGCCAGTAATATTACCATTAGAATTGCCATTATTACCAAGAGTGACATTGTTATTTCCAACAGCAGTGTAATTACTACTAGTATTGCCAGTATTATTATTGAAGACATTGGCTATATTATTGTTGCCAGTATTGCCACTAATATTTCCATGAAGATTGTCTGTTTTATTATTAATAGAATTAGTTATATTATTACCAACAGCATTTCCATCGCCACCAGGATTGCCAGTAATATTTTCACTGTGTTTACCAACATTATTATTAACAGTATTGGTTATATTATTACGAGTAGAATTGCTAGTATTATTGCTAACAGTAATGCCATTACTGCCAGTAGTGTTAGTATTATTATCTGCATTATTACTATTTTTAAAAAATTTGTTGATCTCTGATGAGGTAGAATTATTACCAGAATTGTTAGCATTATTATTAATAGCATCAGTCATATTATTACTATTAGAATTGTCAGTAATATTACCATTAGTATTGCGTTTAGTACCAAGAGTGACATTGTTATTTCCAACAGCAACAAAATTACTACTAGTATTATTATTAAATGCATTGGTTATATTACTACCACCAGGATTGTTAGTAATATTACCAACAGCATTGCCAGTACCGAGAAGATTGCTAACAATATTATTAACAGTATTGTTTATACCAGTTTCAAAATTAAACGAAGTTGAATTAAAACAATTACCAAAATTGATAGTATTATTACCAACAGCATTACCATCGTCACCAGGATTGCCAGTCATATTTTCACTGTGTCTGCTAATATTATTATTAACAGTCTTGGTTATATTATTAGCAGTAGAATTGACAGTATTATTGTTAACAGTAATGCCATTACTGTCAGTAGTGGTAGTATTACTATTTTTAAGTAATTTGTCAATCTCTGATGAGGTAGTATTATTACCAGAATTGCTAATTTTATTACCAACAGCATTGCCATCGCCACCAGGATTGCCAGTAATATTTTCACGGTGTCTGCCAATATTATTATTAACAGTATTGGTTATATTATTACCAACAGCATTGCCATCGCCACCAGAATTGTTAGTAATATTACTATTAGAATTTCCATTACCACCAAGATTGTCAGTATTATTCTTAGCAAAATTGGTTATATTATTACCTGTAGAATTGACAGTGTTATTGTTAACAATAACTCCATTACTATCAGTAGTGTTAGTATTATTATCATCAACATTATTAATATTCTTAATAGATTTATTGATCCCTGATGAGGTAGTATTAAAGGTTTGTAACAAACTTATACTATTACGACCATCGGCTATAGCAAGAGCGGTTGATTGAGAACTACCACCGGCCCCGGAAATGGCTGTACCGCTCCCACCATAGATTGCGTTGGCCCGGGAGTGTGACCAGGAGTTTGCACCTGATATGGCGCCGGACATGCTTGTACTTTGGGACATGGCCTGCGCGATGACCTGGCTACCCTCTAAACTGCGCTCCAATAGATCATCATAATAGGCACATAAGCACATACGTAGGCACAAAATCAATACAACTAATAATCGAGACATTTTTTTTATTGCAACAAAGTGTTGTGTTTGTTTTAATTTAATGGAGTTACTTTTATTTATGTTTATTTTTATAATTAATTATTTTTTATGCTATACATATTAATTAAAATAAAACAGCTTTTTAGTAGCAACATTTTTTATGTGTAGTTTTTAATTAAAAATTTTAATTATTTTTCACAATTAATTTACTATTAAAGTAGAATATTCTGTAATAAAGTTATTAATTAATTATGTTTATCTTTAGCATAATTAATTAAATATTTTTTGTGTTGTAAATATTAATCAAAATATAACAGATTTTTTCTAGCATAATTTAAGTATACTTTTTAATATACCTTTTAATATACCTTTTGTTTGTATAATTAATTTACTGTTAAAGTACAACAATCCGAAATAAAGATAATAATTTATTATAAAATACACATTTCTTAAGAAAAACAATCATAATAATTACATAGATTTATAAATAATTGTATCATAGCTAGTGCAGTGTTTACCGTATGATTTATCACATTCATGTATATCTTCCGGGATTATAACATTATAATTACAACATAAATAAATATTATTAATTATTTTATGTTTACCCAAAAAAATATTATCTCTAAATATAAATAACAATTTATGACAATTGTGTCTAAAGTATTGATAAGAAGTAAAGTATATATTTTTAAATAGATATTAATATGTCATAATTTATATTATAAAATAAAATTTATTTTTATAATAAAAATTGTATAACAATTTGTTATACAATTTTTAACATGATACATTTAGTACAAAACAATTAAAAATACACTACAGGTATGGATTTCATAAAAACTTATCAATGTGGGTTTAATTTAATTAGTGCTAATAAATAATAAATACCGGTAAACAAATCTATACACCAATTACCTAAACAACAACTTCCGCACAAACAATAGTTTATTCACTAAATTATAGCTAAAAACCAATGATTAATACACACTAGAAGTCAGTATACGTTATATAAATCAAAACGTTAACTATTTTGAGGCACTATTAATAACTTTAGTCCATAAGTAGTTACTTAGAAGTTGCTTATAATTATACAATACAATCAGTTTTAACTCAACAATACACTATGCTCAATTCAATCCCAATAATAACCTTTTTTGTATTAATGGCCAACATGATTGACCATGGACAGTGTCAACAGGAACGGTACCAAGAATTTGGTGGGGCCATTATGGATGCGATGGACGACCAACTGATAACATCGTGTAAAAACACAATTAACGCAGATGTATACCAATGTGAGCAAGGAATCCGTTGGGATCAGTACCCCGATGCAACCACCGATGAAGGTAAAAAGCATACCTGTTGCCGATTATGGGAGTCCTTTAATTGCACACTTCAATTTATCAAGGTACCGTTTTTTAATGATAATTAATAGCTTAATTTGTGTAATTTATAACACCGTAATCAAATAAAATTAATTATTGTTATATACTGTAAAGTAAGAATGCACTCTAGGAGAGTTTAATGGGAGGCCAGGAGAATTTATTGGTGTGTAATTTATACTCTATTCAAATGTTACTCACATATAGTGTACACTAATATAAAGAGTGGAGTTTTTAATGAAAACTATATTAGACATAATATAACAACAGGGTACACTATGACTATAATAAATGTAACGATTTTAATGAAAAATAATTTACAAAATATCAAGGTAACGCAAAAACCACGTCAAGTTATAAAGAGCTAGAGTGCATTCTTACTGTAAAGTTATATGAAATACACGTAAGTTATATACAGTTATATGATTTATATATAAATATTGGTTATGCGAATCAATTAGTACTAATCTAGTACAAAATATTTATTTTAATTAATAATTTGGTATTATTTTTATAGAAATGTACGGCCGATGAGTCTATAGCGGTACAGAAGTATTACAATGGTCAAATTATTACCAATAATCAACACAACTGCGTTTCCTACCCATATGGTACTAATCTATGTAATTCTGCATCAACCATGGTGATTTACGCCCCGCTATTTATTGCATTTGCCATAATTACTAAATTTATTTCTTTGAAATGTGAATTATAAATAACAATTAAAATAATTATGTTTAAAATGTTTATTGTTATTTACTAACCTCAGATACAACTTGTATGATACAAGGAATAAATTTTACCACTGGTCATTTTATAAATTATAATTAATTTTAATAGCATTTTCACCATAATGATACTATATTAAAATTACAATAAAACTTTTTAATCTGTATAAATAAATGTTTAAAAAAATTATTTATTATAATATAAGTAGTAATCAATTTATTGTTTTACATTTAATATGGTTTACAAGTTTTATAATAACAGTTAAATGTTTGACAACTTTTCACTCGATTGCGATTTATTGGAGAATATGGTAATTAAACCTCTGAAGAATGGATAGCATATGAACGACAAGAATATGGCTATAATTAAGACAATGACTAGAATTGTGTACAACTTTACGAAAATGAAATCAATTATCACTGAATTTGTTTCAACAATTGTCGTCAACTCTTTGATTACAAATGGATCCACTGTTTGGTTATGACATCCAAACAAATCCACTGTTGGTTTGATATCACTCTCAGATTTGCACTAAAAAACGATTTCAATAAATTAGATAATTATTACGAGAGAGAGAGAGAGAGAGAGAGAGAGAGAGAGAGAGAGAGAGAGAGAGAGAGAGAGAGAGAGAGAGAGAGAGA